CTCTCTCTCTCTCTCTCTCTCTCCGTAGCGATGTCTTCAACGCAGGTACGTGGTAAGCCAATCTTGTATCGCTCAACCTTTCTCTCTCCCTCTCTCTCTCTCTCTTCTTCGTCGTGGTCTTCTCTGCAGGTGTGCGCGGCGGCTTCTTCAACCTCCGTGTCCGCTATGGCGGACTTCTTCTCTCGATGGCCACTTCAGCTATGGCGCGTAGCTCACCCTGCGACACACAACGGCACGGCGCGCGTGGAATAGCGGGTACCAGCTCTGATACCAATGCAATCAGCCTCGCTCTCATTCACACTTCTCATGCATGCAAACAGGTGCGCAGCACACACACGCACACATACACTGAACTCTACCTACAGCTATGGCGGCTATGGCCGCTACTACCCTATCGCTATGGCTACGCTCCTTCTCTCGCCCACTTCGCCCTCGGGCTCACTGCAGACCACCTCGCACAAGTCGATTGTGGCAGCGCTTCCGCATGGCTCACGCAGGAATGAATGAACGACTGGGCGCTGCCTCTTGATTTATACGTCTGCAGCTCGGTGGTCTGGCCCTTTCCCATGCCCGTAGTGCACACCGTCCCATGCGGTTCTTGCTTGACTGGACCAGGACTGCCTAGGACTGGGACTGCTGACTCAGCACGGGTAGACTCCGCCACTTGCCCACTTGCCTCAGCCTAAACCTGGGAAACTTCGAAAGGCCACTACTCGGACCTTCCGGAAGGCCGTAGGCTTGGCCTTTCGATACTGTAGCAGCTACGGCCTTGACTTTTCTGGACTGTAGCAGCTACGGCCTTGACCCTTCGAGACAGCTACAGCTACGACTTCTAGACCGGACTGAGACTCCTACTCGACAGGTCTACAGATCGAACCCCCGCTACCTATGGACCCTACGACAACCTACCAACTGTTACAAATACACAGGTCACGGGTTCAACTCTAGTGCTCGACACAGATACTGTACACGGGTAAGGTGGAGAGTAGGGATCGAGCCCTGGGATCTGCATCAGCTACTGCGAGCTGGTGAATACCGTTTCAACAAGGTGCGTGGGCCGAAAAAGAAAGAAAGTGTGCTGCTGACGGTTAGCAAAAGCTTGGCGTGCTGTGCAGCGCCTCCAGGCTTGGGTGTGCTGGTGGTTTAAACCTCCATAATATTTCATAAGTCGGTTCTGAAGTTGACCTTTTAAAGCACCTAACATAGTCCGGGGTCGGTCCTTGGACGGCCATGGCATTACCCAGGGTCATTGATTTTCTGCTTTGTTTATCTATTTGTTGATTTATTTGTCTATTAGACGGGAAGGCCAGGGATGTTTGCCTGTTGCCCAATTAATGCTTGCGCTAAGGGCAAAAAAAAAAAAAAAGAAAACCCTACCGTAGTGTGTCTTGTGAGCAGAAGCTTTTCCAAGAGTGGTCCACGAGTGTGGCCTGGTTCCTTCAGCACAAAGTTGAAGCATGTTGAAGAATATCATTCATTAGATTATCTACCTTTTATTGCTCAGTCAATAAGCGCCGTTCCTCTACTACTTGTTTCCAATGTTTACACAGAGCAGCCATAAAAGAACACACTTGGAGCTATTGCTGATAGAAAGGTGGTTTCAGCCAGGAGAGCAAGTGTGGAGTGCAGGGGATAAGGATGTTGAATCTGCAGCAGTGCTGATCAAGTCAGGAGACTTGAAAATTAAGGTCAGTCTTTTGAAATATTGAATATTATCCCGCTATAGGGGCAGTCCGGGTAGGCTCTAGACAACCAGTTGGTCTAGTAGTCCAGTATGCTCTGAGCAGATGATTTGAGTTTGTTAATTCGGGGGTTGGTCTCCTCGGGAGAAATCCCGTAAGCGAAACTGGGTAATGCTCCCAGCCATCCGGGTAGACTGTGAGGACCCCGGCCTCAAACTGATTTTTGGTAATATGAGCCTTGGGCACTGGGCCCGTTTTCAAAAAAAATATATATATATATATTCTCAAAAAAAAAAAAGAAGAAAAAAAAAGGTCAGTCGCAATCCATCTGACCACCCAATGGATGAGTACTGCGGGCACCTCCTGAGGCAACCTGGACCTTTTCTTAAAAAAAATGAAATTAAAAAATCCATAGATTGGCAAGGGATGCATGGAAGGATGGATGGAAAGAAGGGATGGAAGGGATGGACAGATGGACGGACGGATGGATGGAAGGGTGGAAGGGTGGAAGGGTGGTGGGGCTTTGCCAGACAAGAAGCCGTCATCAGACAAAGCTCAGCAATTGAGACCGAGGGCAATTACGGAATTTGTCACACAGAGTCACATGTAATTCCAGGCAAAGCCCCAGGGATGGTTCCACAAACATTCACAGCAGCAAACAGTCACGTAAATTTTTCCAACTGAAGGACAAATGTGTAACTCAACATAAACAGGGTCATATGGGAAACTGGCTCAGAACCCTAGGGACGCGCACGCAGTTCAGGTCTACGCCCCATTCAGATGTCCAGCCCGTTTCACCCATTCTCTGATGTTGATACTGGAGCTGTCATAAGCTTGAAAGAAAAAGGTATGGAGGAAAAAAGACTGTTTGAACCAGCAGCACACATCCTCCCTTGAGCTGCACCGTCACTACTTACTTCTACTTCCACAGGCGAGAACAAACTGCTGCAGACCTTCAACTCTTGTAGTTCACAGTTCAAACCCTGATGTCTTATATTGCCAGGCATGCATGCAGAGTTATTGCCCTCACAGTCATGAGGGTTGTATGATCAGGTCATCACGCGACCGGCTTTCAGCTATGGCACCTTTAGTGTTGAAGGGAGATGAGCAGAAATCTCCTTCAAGTTTTTCCTTGCTCTTCAGCACAGCATCAGAAATTAAGCCACTGCACCTCTTCTAACGAACCAACAGCTAGATATCGGCCAAGAGTGTTCTCAAAGCCCTCACCTGGTCACAGTCAAGGTTGCCTCTTCTCTCTCTCTCTCTCTCTCTCTCTCCCTCCCTCCCCACCTACGCCGGGCACTTCGCACTGGTGTGTGCAGTTGACGACAAGTTCAGATCCTGTTCTCGCCCATGTTGGAAGAGGAATGAATCTTCAGCTAGAACATGGAATGATACACTGCCATAATCTTTGTTTGCTCTGCGATGAACCAACACTCTTCTTCTCTTTCAGTAATAAGACTGTGAGAACGAATCTCTTGCTAGGACATGGGAAGATGCATGGCCGTGTTCTTTATTTGCTATGCGCTGATGCAACGGCAGAGTACTCATCAATAAGGCCATGAAACGAATCTTTTGCTAGAACATGGAAATGTATACGGCCATATCACAGATTTGCTGTGGGCTTGCACAATTCTCATTCACTCATCAATGGAGAAGGTGAAAATGAACCATTACCTACATAGCGGGAAGGTACACCGTCGTATTGTTGGTCTCGTGCATAGTCACTCTTTGGCTTGGACCCCACTGCTCGGCGGTTGGAAAAAATGGTTGGCCGCGGAAAACGGCCAAAGCCGTCTGGAAAAACATTTCCAGAAAAAGTCGAGGCCCCACCGCCACGGTCTCTACGGCTTGTGGAAAATGACTGCCATTCCCGAAATGCACCCGCGGAATGGAACGCTCCCACACCCGACCGGTGCGACGCACCACTGTTGTCCGTGCTTTGAAGAAACGGTCCACCCCATCGTGCACTGGACCAGGCCGCCCGTGCCCCGGTACGGCATCTTTAGGGATGCCCCCCCACGTCTCAAAAAACATTGGTTTTGGAAAACAGTCGCCAGACGGTCTGACAGTTTTTTCCAGCCGCCGACCATGTGGAAACACTTCCGACGGTTTTCCACGACACTCCGGCATTGGCAGTGGGGTCCCGAATTCGCATTGGCGCACCTTCCTGGCGGTCCAGTGGGGTCCCGTAAACATGGAAATGGAAAATGACTTCCACGCCGCCGGCCAGTGGGGTCCAAGCCTTTCTCTCAT